TCAAGGATTAATGAATTGATTCGACGGAGCTTTCAAACACCCGACGGAGCTTTCAAACACAGATCTAGCTCATCGCAGAGCCGCCAAAAGCCGCCTCAGCAGCAGCGAGTCAAGACGGCACCTCCCGTCTCTCAGCCCAGACCTGAAACTGACTTCTGACGCCGCTCGCGCTCTGCCAACAGGAAGCAACCGCCCGAGCGACGGGGACCTCGGCCCAAGATTGTGCTGAACCCAGAGCCTCGTAAGTCTTCCTAGCTACAGGGAGAAAAAGAGAGAGCGCGTGTCTCGCAAGAGCCGGACCGCTCTCTCCAAAACATTTAAACCATTCCCCAGTCCCCTTACAGGCGGCTGGAAATGTCTGTACAGCAGCCAATGGGCCAGCCGCACAGCTCGCTCACCTGCGAACAAACGCCGTTTTTACGGCGACACACAGAAATCACATAAAGAGCCATTTTCTGCCTGTGTCATTAAAGGGTCACATGTCCACACTAAAGTGCGCATTCCCACATATCAAAACTGTCAAAGCAGTGCCAAATGCTTCCCCAGCTCAGGCTGGACGCCCCATAAATGTAGATTGTGTGCCCACTGTCATGTATGCACCACTACACATAAGCACTGTTCCCACAGTTATAAACACTTCCCCAGTAAAAGCGGGAAATTCTATAAGAGTAGCGCATGTGCCCGCTGTTATGCACGCACCCCAACTCACAAACACTTTTTATATGGCCAAAAACCTCCCGCCATGAGCGGGAAGTTTTATGAAAGTGGCGCGCGTGCCTACCACAGTCTATGCACCCCCACCCATAAGCACTGTCCATACAGTCTTAAACATTTCCCCAACTCACACTGTGAGCATTACGGATGTGGCGAGCGTGCCTGTAATCTCACACGCACCCCTGCACTCGGCATTCAACAAAGCTGCTCAGCGCGCGCCCGCGCCTCTGAGAGCTGTAAGCTCAGTATTAGCACAGGGCGATTTGCCGGCGGGAGCCATACGTCACTGCGACACGCCCCCAGCCAGCATTCAGCCCATATCTGTGCGAGCGAAAGCTTGGGAAAATATCCCCGGCATGCCGAAATGGGTTTTGAACATAATAAAACACGGTTACTCGCTTCAATTCGCTCGCAGACCGCCCCGCTTCACAGCGGTGGTCGAGACGAAAGTGAGAAAAGATGTTCCACATGTTCTACGCACCGAGGTGCTCAAACTGATAGAGAAGGGCGCTATAGAAACAGTCTATGAGCGAGGCAGGTTTTTACAGTCGCTATTTTCTCGTCCCGAAAAAGGATGGTGGTCTCCGCCCCATTCTAGATCTCAGACATCTGAACAAAGCTTTAATGATTCGCTCGTTCAGAATGTTAACAACCAAGCATATCCTCGCGCAAGTTCGCCCGGGGGATTGGTTTCTATCAGTGGATCTGAAAGATGCTTACTTTCACATTCCGATAGCGCCTCATCACAGGCCATTTCTGAGATTCGCTTTCGAGGGACAGTCATACCAGTACACAGTACTACCATTCGGCCTGTCACTGGCACCCCGTACATTCACGAAATGTATGGATGCAGCACTTCCCCCCTGAGACAGCGGGGAGTGCGAATACTGAATTATCTCGACGATTGGCTAGTCCTAGCACAATCAGAGAGCCAGTTAGTGACACACAGGTCTTGGATTATCAGTCATCTAGAATGCCTGGGTCTAAGAATCAATTTTGCAAAGAGCATGCTATCCCCCAGCCAGAATATTTCTTTTCTGGGAATAGTGCTAGACTCAGTGCAGATGACGGCGCGCCTCTCATCAGAGCGCGCGCTCACTATCCGGCGCCTTGCAACATCGTTCAGAGCGGGCGCGCGCGCCCCCGTCAAGCGATTTCAAAGGATGCTCGGTCTCATGGCCTCGGCATCAGCTGTACTCCAGCTAGGATTGTTGCACATGCGTCCTCTCCAACGCTGGCTCAAAAGCCGGGTCCCCACGCACGCGTGGCGCTCGGGCCACTTAAAATCAGAGCGAATCACGGCTGCATAAAAGCCCTGACGCCCTGGAAAGCTGTCGACTGGTATCAGTCCGGTGTGAGTTTGGGCGTGAACACAAGGAGAAAAATGATCACGACAGATGCCTCCAAAATAGGTTGGGGGGCCCTTTACGAGGGCAGGCCTGTCTCCGGCTTGTGGTCAAACCCGGAGAAGCGCCTACATATAAACTGTCTGGAATTGAAAGCGGTCGCTTTGGCTCTCAGAGCCCTGCTTCCGTACCTGAAGGACGAGCACGTCCTGGTCCGAACGGACAACATGACGGTAGTCTCGTATATAAATCGTCAGGGTGGACTCAGGTCGAGCTCCCTGCACTCGATGGCCAGGGAACTCATACTATGGTCCCAGCGCAACCTGCGCTCGCTGAGAGCAACGCATGTGCCAGGTGTTCTAAACCAGGGAGCGGACATGCTGTCCAGAGACAAAGTTCTCCCAGGAGAATGGTCTCTCCACCCCCTGACGATTCAGTGGTTATGGCAAACCTTTGGCAGAGCAGAGGTCGACCTCTTTGCCTCCAAGGAAAATGCGCACTGCCCTCTCTTCTTTTCAAAGAGCACAGACGCGCTCGCCCAAATCTGGCCGAGCCGCCCGCTGTATGCCTTCCCTCCGATCGCGATGCTACCTCAGGTCATCAGTCGGATCAGGGAGGAGAAATGTGCAGTGCTCCTGGTAGCCCCACTCTGGAAGAACCAGACGTGGTTTCCAGAACTGATGCAGATGCCCCATGGCCGATTCCACTGAGGCTAGACCTCCTCAGGCAGGCCAACGGGATGATCCTCCATCCCAGCCCCGATCTGTGGGCCCTCCATGCATGGCCCCTCAACGGGTTCCCGGGAACCTCCCCAGTGGAGTGTTGAGAACCATCACTGAGGTGCGAGCGCCCTCTACGAGGCGCTTATATGCCCAGAAATGGAAGGTGTTCAGTGACTGGTGTAAACCCAGGAACCTGAACCCTGAGACATGCGAGGTACCGAGTGTGCTCGTTTTCTTACAAGAGCTGTTGGAGGCAGGCCGCACCCCCTCCACGCTCAAAGTATATGTGGCTGCCATAGCGGCATCACACGACCCTGTAGAAGGACGCACACTAGGGAAAAACTACCTAGTTGTTCGTTTCCTGAGGGGCGCCAGGAGGATGAATCCCCCAAATTCTGTCAATTTAATTGTGTAAATGTGTTTACGTGAACCGAACAGCTCTTTCTCTTTACTACTAGTTAATAGTAGGCCTAAATAAGCACGGATTAACATTGGAAGGTAGCTATATGTTGAAAGATAGTTTACACTACAACCGAAATATTTATCATGTCTCATGTAATCGATCGATCAATCAATGTTTCAACCGCGGAAAAACGTCATGTAACGTTACATTTACCTCAGGAAAGCCATTTAATGACCATAGCATGTTAGTATTGCTAGAAAAATTAACTAGGCCTAGCCTATATTTTGCTAAATATATGCACTATTACATATTTATTATATTTTTACTCATATCATTAAAATAGCCTACTATAACGTTATTATTGTGAATAATAATAATGCTAAACCACATATACATTTTATTTGTTCATTTTAACATTTAATAATATTATATGTCCATACTAATGTCACTGTTTACAGCATTAGGCTATAGAGATTTTTTTTCCTTTGAAAAATTAACAAGTAGCTATACTGTAGGCGACCTGATATTTCCAAATTAAAAAATCGTGAAATTTGTATCAAGCACTAATAAAACAGTAGAGCCTATATGTAAACATTGATTGTAACTTAATGAAATTCTGTTTAGTTACCAATGTTTTGACAATCACAATACACTTATTGTGATGCAATTATTATTATTATTATTTATTTTTTTTGTAACATTTTTACATTATTTTTCTGGAAATAATGAATTGGAAAAAGTTTAAATGATTGATTGGGCCCAAGTAAGTACCGGTATGCTACTCCTAATCGCCATCTAGTGTTGGAAAGGAATACCGCAAGTAAATGTTGAAAACAGCAAGTACATTTCAAAGAGGATAAGCGAGTTTCTTATACATATCGTGTCACGATCCAATAGCAGTATTTATTTAGGGTAATCCGTACTCACAAAAAAGAGGATAAGCGAGTTTCTAATACATATTGTGTCACGATACCACACACAGGAAACAGGGATCCAATAGCAGTATTTATTTAGGGTAATCCGTACTCACAAAATACATAAGGCAATCCGAAACATAAAATACACGAGAAACAAGGCAAGAACACAGCACTCTGAAGTGGTGTGACGAATAACAAGGACTCCGTAACAAACACTAAACAGGCAGGGTATTTATACACACAGAAACTAACAATCATGATGGGGAACACAGCTGAGTGCAATGAACAGTGATGAGCGCAGACAAGGATTGTGGGGGATGCAGTTCCTAATGTGATTGACACCGTGGGGGAAGAGGACCTCTAGTGGACACCAGGGAACATAAACCAACACTGTTACATATTGTGATTCTTGAGATAAATAGATTAAATATAAGAATGTTTTACAAATGTTTTCAAAGAAAATCAAGATGCTCTAACAAGCCATCATTCTCTCACTAGTTTACTTTGTGTAACGTCCAACAGTGTATGCGTTACAATAAATAGTTTTGTCATTATTTTTCTAAAAGCTCAGTGTCATTTCCATCAAATCTCAATTATGATTTGTGTTTTCATATGACGCATATATTTCATCTTAAGCTTTTCACTGACGCTTTTGTCTCATTGGTAAAAAAAATGTATTGGGGTCAAAAAGTTTGTTGTTGTAGATTAATAAGCTATTTTATTTGGTCGGTAGAGGATTTAGATGCATCTAAATCAACGCACTTCTCAGAATAATATCAAGTTTAGACATGTATTGTGTGGAGAGAGGAGTGGTGTTAACTTTCACATGTGCACTCCCAATGCGTTTTTTTATATTAGCTGGGCAGGGCTTGTTTCACACCATTTTAGTAGTGGAATGCAGTGAGAAATCTATCCAGTCAGTCGCATGCTTGTGTGGTAAGTGAAGCAGATTACCTTTATTTATCCTAAACAATTATAATAAGTGGCATTTTGTGTGTAACTGAAATGTATTGTAACTTTCTTTCTTCAAAGGTTAAAAACGAAGATGCATTACCTCCCTGTCACTTTGCTAACATTCTTGAGCATATTATCTCAAGTGTTAGGAGGTAAAGTGTTGGTATTTCCACTGGATGGAAGTCACTGGGTGAACATGAAGGTCCTGATCGAGGAATTACACTCACGAGGTCACAACGTGACGGTGCTTAGAGCCTCCAACAGCTGGTATATCAAGGAAGAGTCTCCTTTCTACACCTCCGTCACTGTTTCTAATAGCGGTGGCATTGAAAAGGAGCTGCTTGATACATTTACAAGACATATTCTGGTCATCAGAAGAGAAAAGTTGTCCATCTGGACTCACCTCGCATTGGCTTCCGAGGTTGGAATGGTATTTGAAGAGATGCATTGCAATCAACTTGCCTTCATTGGAAAAATATTTGAAAATAAAGACTTAATGGATTCACTTCATACCGCAAAGTATGACCTGGTTCTGACAGATCCGGCTTTTGGAGGCGGAGTTTTCCTGGCCCATCGTCTTGCCCTCCCTCTTGTGCTAAATGTCCGTTGGACGATACATGGAGAAGCACATTACGAAATAGCTCCTTCACCTCTGTCGTATGTTCCTGTACCCGGTGTAGAGCTGACTGATAAGATGACGTTTGCTCAACGAGTGCAGAACGTAATGGCATACTTGTTTTTGCTTTATCACAAAACCAGGTTTATCTCCTCACACTACCAGTCCTTCTGCAACAAATACTTTGGATCAGAAATCAACTACAAATACCTTCTTTGGGATGCCGACATCTGGCTCATGAGAAATGACTTCACGTTTGAGTTTCCACGACCCACAATGCCAAATATCGTCTATATGGGCGGCTTCCAGTGTAAACCAGCCAAGCCACTTCCAGCTGATCTTGAGGAGTTTGTGCGGAGCTCAGGAGATCATGGAGTCATCGTCATGTCCCTAGGAACTCTTTTTAGTCATCTTCCACAAGACATCACTGAGGAAATTGCTGCCGCTTTTGCCAGACTGCCTCAAAAAATAATTTGGAGACACACTGGACCTCGACCTGTCAACATTGGTGATAATACATTACTTGTTGACTGGTTACCCCAAAAGGACCTGCTTGGACATCCACAAACTAAAGTGTTTATAACACATGGAGGCACCAATGGAATTCAGGAAGCCATCTATCATGGGATTCCCATTTTGGGTCTACCTATAGTATTTGACCAACCTGACAATCTCTTCAGGATGCAAGCAAAGGGAACAGCAAAGATTGTAGATATTGCGACTCTGGACAGGAATGTGTTTCTAGAGGCATTAAAAGAGGTTCTGCATAACCCATCTTACAGGGAGAACATGCAGAGACTGTCCAGACTGCATCACGACCAGCCAATGAAACCTCTTGATCGTGCCATCTTCTGGATTGAGTTTGTCATGAGGAATAGAGGAGCCCCTCATTTACGAACACAGTCTTTCAGAATGTCCTGGATTGAGTACTACTCTATAGATGTTATTTTGACTCTTTTGATGATATTTGTGCTGTTTTGTTTTGTGATCTACTCTATCATAAAATATCTTTGTTTTAAAGTAGTATTTAAAAAGAAAATTAAATTTGAGTGATTGAATACTTAGTTCAAATCTTTCTCACGACTGAAATGTCTCGATATTTGCTTGGAAAGTTGTAAAATGACACATGAAAACATATATCTTTTTACCTGTGCTCATTTATTCTAGTTTTCATTGAGAAATTAAAATCACAATGCTGCCACAAATACATCATAATAGTCATTAGACGTGAGCTCAATATGATTTAGCTGAACTATTCTGACTAAAAATGGGAAATAACTTACTATATAATTTATCACTATAAAATGATTGAATCTTCTTTTTATATATATATATATATATATATATATATATATATATATATATATATATATATATATATATATATATATATATAAAAAAAACTTGAATGATGCAACAATATGAAATAAACTGTTTATTTACTCACTCATTCATTTATTCATTCACTGTAAAATATATGATGAATAAGTTATGGCAACATATGTTTAACATTGCTTTAACTCATCAAAATAAGTTTTATGTTATACAAGATTCAACAAATTTTTTAAAGTGAGTTTAATGTGATTTAAGTTTAAATATCCAAGTTGATTGTACTTAAAATCTTAAGGCATTAACATTTTTTTTTTACCATGTTCATTTAATAAATACATAAGTATCATTATTATTTTGTCAAACTGTTTTGGGTGGTTGTGAGTCATTTAAAAAATAAATCGCACATGCTTCCTGTTGCCCGACCTTGTCAGAAGGACTGAACTGGTACTTTGTTCTTTTCATTGTTCATTGATCAATTTCCTAGATATTTTTATCACATACATTCAGTATTGCTGAAAACAGACATTAAGTTGATCAGTTTAAATGAAATCAAGCCCCAAAATGCCAATTAAAATATAACAAATGAATGAATGTATAATTCTTTAAAGGATATAGATTATAAGCATAAGCTTAAAAACATTATTTACAACTTTTCATTTTCCTTCGTCTGTATTTCTGAGCTCATGCACATTTCATCTGTTGTGGGACAGATGAGAAAAGCAAAACAGAAGTATGTACCAGACAGATGCATCCGCAAGCTACCGAATACAGAAGTTGAAACCTCCGTGGCAAGGTGAACTGAAACTTATGTGTTGGCATTTCTGGCATTTCCAACACTTGCTTACCATCGCCTGCATGGGATGTGTCAGTTTTAGGAATCAATTTTCATGCATCCATTTAAACTGGTGAAAACTTAATGTTTATGTATATCATCACACTATCTATTTAGAGCCAGTGTGAACAGCTTGCGCATGACATGAAGTGCCATGTTTGCCCACTCAGTATAGGGTACAAGTGCAAACAATCACAAACTGAGTGCAATGTGAGAGACACAAGTGAATGATAGAATGCTGATGTTTTGAAGATAGTTGTTTCTCGATATTTTTGTTTAGGTGGATTGGTTCAAAGAGCACAACAATTGTCTATTTTTGTTATGCCATAGTTTACCAAATACTTTCTGAAAAATTCAGATTGGTTAATATAAATAAAATAAGCTATTATTTTTGCACAAAAACACATTATTAACATTAAAATGACATAATTAAAAAATGTTTCACATTTGCAAGTTATAACTTACAGTTAAACAATAAACATGTTTTTACTATAGCATTTTTTACATTCACATACTGGCTTTACTCATTGATTGAATGAGTACAGGGATATATATAACCATATATATATGTACAACGCATTTCCTTCATTCCATGGGGATTAATGTTAATGTTAACAGTATGTGAATGTAAAAAATGCTATAGTAAAAACAATGGACAATGCACATATATCACGTCATATATATATATATATATATATATATATATATATATATATATATATATATATATATATGACGTGATATATGTGCATTGTCCAGTAGATGGCAGTAAACTGTCAACATGAGAACTGTTTGTTTTGGCAGGGAATGTGTGGCAATGAGTGTTTAATATGTTGATTAAAAAAGAATAATAAACTCTTACTGTAATAAGATTTTTTTATTTTTGTGGCAGGTAAGTATATAGAAATATTTAAATGAATGTTTTCCTAAAAGATGGTTTGTTGCAGCAAGGGTGTTGTGAAACTCAGTTTACAGAAATGTCCCATGATCCCATCAATATCTGTTTTTTTTAAGCGACTACATCTAGAGTGCGAAAAGTTAATCTCACAAAATAGATGTGCCACCTTATTTTCATACATTCATCTCACATTCACAAACTATTCAATACTCTATAGTGAAGTCAATTTTTCTGAATAAATACTTGCATAAAAGCTGTTAACTGGTGAGTTACCTAAAATACAACATGTAATTTTCCTGTATCTAATAATGTAAAAAATAGTAGAAACAATTACTTCATAATTTAAGGACAGCACATTTATATTATACTTAATAAAGCAATATACACATTTGCTGTAAAATACTGTTGAAATTGTTTGTTTTTTTACAAAAGAAAATGCATGAAAAGCTATATTAGCCTATTTATGGACAAAAGGCCATTGCCACTATTCCTACAAACCATCACATTTCTTTACTTTTTATTCTTGTTGTCTGTTACGTTTGAGTGTTTTATGCCTATTTCAAACTTTGATTCATCTTGTGACCTTCCACACTTGTGTTATTCTCAATACATTTTACAGTGCCAGACAGATTCAGATTAAAACTCAGGTTGGTATATTTACATTATGTAAATTTATAGGCCAGTTAGAAACTGTAATATATTATATGCGTTGCCAGCACTCTATTTTTACGGTAAATCTCGGGCAACAGTTGCCAGTTGTCAAGACACTGTAAAAAATTATTTTCATGATTTATTAACTTTTTATCTTTTGTCAAATCAACTTAGATAATTAATGTGGTTCAGATAACATGATATTTTGAGTTTCTATTTATTAAACCAATTTCCTTCATTGTAGTAACTCAAATTTTTAAGTTTTAACAAAATGTTAAGACAACCAGGTAGGCCTAACTTACATAAAACAATGTACGCAAATTAACTAACATAACTTAACAATGTTCTTACTAATTGAGCAAATTAAGCTTTAAAACTAAAGTAGGTCTACTGAACAAACAAGAAAAAATTCTCCACAAACCCTCTGAAGACCTCCATAAAAGGTTCCAAAATGGGTGTTTTGCAGTGATGCATTTTGGGTTCCCCAAAGAATCTTTCACTTAACCGTTCTTTACAAGAACCCTTTTTTCTTAGTGGAAAGATCTAAGAACAATCTAAAGACCCATTTTGTGCATTGCAAATGTTCCATGGATGTAAGGTTCTTAATGGAACCATAAAGAACCTTTATTTTTAGGGTGTATATGCGAATTTGATGATCACCTGAGGATTGTGTCCATCTATCTGGGTCTGTTATGTAGGCAGGGCAGGACAGGTTTGCTATCGCGGGAATTTAAGAGGACAGCGCCATCGTCTTCACGAGGCTCGTTTTTAAACCGGATGTAAGTGTAGCGGCGGCATCTACTTACCGCTCGCTATTGCTAGGCGACGGGCTTTTTACGTGACCCGATTCGAGCTCCATCCAGGGTCGCTTCGTCATTGTAGCAGCTCCCTCTCCACTCACTCACTCACATCTTACTCGACAGCCCTCTTCTCCCTCTCCTCTGCATCCCTCCACACATATCCCAGGTAGCCAGGCGACCCACAAAATGTCTTACGCGGGGAATCCGTTGGTGATATTATTCGGGGTCTTGATGCTGCATTCGGGCTCCGCTGAGAACGGTAAGGAATTTCATGTGTTCCTATTAAAGAACCGTTTCATCGCAGATTTTGAAGGCTTTCTTGATAGGGGAACGGTTGCGGCACGTGCAGGTGCAATTTGCCTCGAGCGCACGGGATAAACTCGAGTCTCACCAATCCTCAGCATTGCTTTTGGGAATTCTCAAAACTAAATAGCCGCTCAGGTTGAGAAAGGTGACATATGTGTGTATTACATATTTAAGAAAATGCGTCCTTGTGCGTTTAAATGGCAAAGCGCACTGCATTCCGCATTAAAAGAGCAGTGTAGCCTATGTCTCACATGCTTAAAAGCGGCTCGCCATTCTACTTCATGCAAACAAATAGGTTACATTTTAATGTTTGGTGACTTGTCCCACGGGGAGCGTCTATTTGTGACTGTGATTATGACTCTCTTAGAAAAGATCCCCTTTCCAGATTTGGATGTGCTTAGATGGGTCATCGGCTGCTTGTCACAAACCGCACTTGTGCTTGATTTGCATGCGGCCAATCTAATGACTCAGGAATTCTTCTCATGTTCCCGTTTGTTCTTCCAACGCAAACCGATCATTTTGCTCGCTCGTCAAATATAGCTATATAACGGTAGAGGCAGGTAGGCTACCCCCTCTTTAAGCACCGGTCCTCTGCAGCGCCGTAAATAGCAGCAGTCCATTCTGCTGCATGTTTCTATTTATAGAGCCGATGCAGTAGCGGTATGCATGGCGTTAATGCCCGTCCTCCCCGTGCGCGCGGACCCGTTAAAGTCTTAACGAAGGAGCACCGCGGTGCATTGTGACGTCATGGACGCGCTCAGTTAATGAGCGGTAACACATGAGCCCCTCCGATCTCCTTCCATCTCCTGGCCATGCATTAGCCTACTGCCGTTTAAATAATGCCTACACCTTTAACATATAAATGTTATCAATTAATACCTACAGACATCCTAGGAAAAATGTGTTAATTAAGCTGAGTTGATGTCTAGGTTATCTGAATCAAGGTGAGCCATTGATTGGACTCGGAGATTCTCAACTGGTTTTGCTTAAAGCCAAGGTATAGCGGAGGATCTTTCCGAATTTTAGAGAAGACCCACCCTCTCCAATGTTTTTTAAAAATGCACATGCGCAACACTCTATTTGCTCCCGAGAGGGAACGCCTATTAAACGTGTGCACGAGAGAGCATGATAGCTTACATTAACTTTTACTAGCAGTGATTTTAAATGGATTTCTCCAAATAGCATGACAAACTTTACCTGTCTAGTAGAATCTTCGCGACTGCTGCATCAGTGAGAAGCCCAACA